TAAATGTGAACAAAGGGAGCCCCCACACTCTCTTTTCCCAAAAAGAACCTATTAAGAGTGTATGTACAGTGTAGCCAGTTTTTTGGCCCTGCAGTTTCCTGCAATATCGATCTTTCATGGAACCGATATAAACTTGTGTTCTAAAACGGTTGAGAGGAACCCTTGGAAATTTCTTAGCATGACATCGAATATATGTATGTATGTATATTAACATATGTACTACACCAGACGTTTAGCACTGGGTTAAACGCAGTATTGAATCCAATACGGGCTGTCCTTTTTAGTTTCTTCAACTTATTAACCATGGTGGCCTTACCTGATGCGTTCCACTGCACAAGGAAACCATACTACATATATTATTATATATGACTATTCCTATACCAGATTAGCAAAAATTCAGGCTTGGAACCCAGGATCGTAGATCAACTCTGCTCATAAGAAGACAACAGCTACTAAAGCATTCTAAACGATCCTAAACCTTTCTCTGACAGAAGAATATGCAGGGAAGACTCTATGTAACATTAGGTTCAGAAATGGTCACACCCGCATAACGATCATTGCATAATTAGTTATAATTGATCTCACTCAGTTTGGAAAAAATCGACTACATCCCTACAACCCGCACTACCTACACTGAGCCCATGACCCGACTTCTCTCAAAAGAAAAAGTGGAGATTAGACAGAAATAAAAGCTTGTAAATAGCATTAATTAATTGTTGTGTTTGATAACAAAACTAGCCATCACCAGCCAGCAATCCAAATCAAGAGCGTAAGCGAAAATCCACTTAAAAATAAGAGGAAAGTTAAAGAAGTTAACGAACAAAAAATTAGCCATCACTTGCAAAAACAGGAAGAAGAAGACAAACCAGCCGTGTGGGGGGCTCGACCCTATTAAGCTGGCATTTAAGGGTACTATTTTATATATATATAAGGAAAATTTAAAAGTTAGGNAACAGAAGAATATGCAGGGAAGACTCTATGTAACATTAGGTTCAGAAATGGTCACACCCGCATAACGATCATTGCATAATTATAATTGATCTCACTCAGTTTGGAAAAAATCGACTACATCCCTACAACCCGCACTACCTACACTGAGCCCATGACCCGACTTCTCTCAAAAGAAAAAGTGGAGATTAGACAGAAATAAAAGCTTGTAAATAGCATTAATTAATTGTTGTGTTTGATAACAAAACTAGCCATCACCAGCCAGCAATCCAAATCAAGAGCGTAAGCGAAAATCCACTTAAAAATAAGAGGAAAGTTAAAGAAGTTAACGAACAAAAAATTAGCCATCACTTGCAAAAACAGGAAGAAGAAGACAAACCAGCCGTGTGGGGGGCTCGACCCTATTAAGCTGGCATTTAAGGGTACTATTTTATATATATATAAGGAAAATTTAAAAGTTAGGGGGGGGGAGGCTCGAGCACCCCCCGCCCCTACCTGGCTACGCCCATGGTCACAAGCAGCCAAAAAGAATATATGTATGTAAAATACCAACAATTGAAAAATTAAATTAGTTTTTTTTACAAAAACTGCAACCATATGTTTTCAGATCATATATGTACATATTTTCGTGATGGGTAATTTTTGCGGGCTAAAATTTTCCCAGCAAAAAACTAACGTTTGCTCTCAAAATTTTTTAGTGATGGATACGTTTTTTGGCATCATCCAACCTACTTTCAAAAATTAGAAATGATAGTTACGAAGTTTTGTGTGAAAATGTGTCAAACTCGTTAGGCAGGTTGGTCCAATGCGCATTTAATAAGGTGGTTTTAGCCGTATAGAAGTAAAAAAAATACACTAACAAATTATACGCACAATAACAGTATGAATTACAATGAACACATCATTTTGACAATATGATTTCCGCGGAGAAAAATTCAAATACAATTTTTAAATAATTACGCAAATCTTTTTGGTTAGTGCATGTTTCAAAGGCCGCAACACTCGTACAGTGGATACGTTCTTTGACATAATGTGCTAGACAGGCATAAACCTACTATTATAAGCAAAAATTCATTGAAAATTGCCAAGAAAGATGACAAAAACCACTACGTCATAGTGCCAAAACATTTTGGTCTTCACAAAAGATGAGCTCGAAATAAAATGTGTACAATTTCGCGAGGATTTTAATTTCCTTCTAAACAATCGACTACAAAATGACTTCTTGGGCTCTTATCAATGACATTAAAGTAAACTCTTGATAAAAATTGTAAAACCTAGTAACCTTCTAGTAACGGTAACTTGCTGTCGAGAAACCACAACAGATAGTCGAAAAATTTAAACTACTGGTAGGCAGGTATTTGGCGAATTCTTTCAAGATCCAGACAGATTTCTGCAATGTCGAGGATGGATATCGGGAGAAAGGCGTCCAGAGTACCCTTAAGATGTGGAGAGGTATCTTCCGAACACTCCAAAATCTCCAAAAAATACAATATAGTATATAATATGTATAGGGACGAAGATCACATCCCGCCCCTTGACTAAGACAACAAGGGAACAGCATAAAAGTGGTTTAAAACGAAAAAGGCACCTGGTGTCGATGGAATATGGTAATGTGATCTAGTAATTATCGATTGTGTGAAAGCTGACCCTTAACGAACCAAATAGTATGGCATTTTCAGTGCTATTAGTCAGATTAATCAGTTAGATTAGAAAGCCAACTTCACCCTTTAAGACAGTAATTGGCTCCTTTACTAGAAAAAGAACGTGGTCAATGTCGTCACTGAGACGAAGTATCTTAGATTTGACAAAGCAAAGAATCTACCACCTACGAATAAAGCTAAGCCATAAAACCGTCTCCCTTTATTCTTGCTTCCAAGGAATGATATAAACCAGGAAGTCTTTATCTGGGTGCGAGGTATCAGCAAGAGTCTAGACTCACTATGGCCAAAGGATGAGCACATGCACTAGCTACCACTAAACTTTCAGGGTAATTTAGGATTTTAGTAAAGTAACAATGAACCCGTTAGGTTGCAGTGCACACCTTGTTTGACTTCGACGGTCTTAAATTTTATGCTGGCAATATTATTTACCAACCAACCAACTCTCTAAAGCTAAGTGTACACGGTAGAGAAAAAACGCGAGATTTAGATAAAAATCTCGCTAGAGACGTGTAAACAATCAATAGAGCTCTACGAGAGACTCATCTACAAAGTCTCAGTGAGAGTTATTTAGCGAGACTTTTTCACCGTGTACACAGTCCAACGAAGCTAGATCGAAAACTCTACGANCCCAATGTCGTCACTGAGACGAAGTATCTTAGATTTGACAAAGCAAAGAATTTACCACCTAGGAATAAGGCTAAGCCATAAAACCGTCTCCCTTTATTCTTGCTTCCAAGGAATGATATATACCAGGAAGTCTTTATCTGGGGTGCGAGCTATCTGCAAGAGTCTAGACTCACTATGGCCAAAGGATGAGCACATGCACTTGTTGCCACTAAACTTTCAGGGTAATTTAGGATTTTAGTAAAGTAACAATGAACCCGTTAGGTTGCAGTGCACACCTTGTTTGACTTCGACGGTCTTAAATTGTATGCTGGCAATATTATTTACCAACCAACCAACTCTCTAAAGCTAAGAGTACACGGTAGAGAAAAAACGCGAGATTTAGATAAAAATCTCGCTAGAGACGTGTAAACAATCAATAGAGCTCTACGAGAGACTCACCTACAAAGTCTCAGTGAGAGTTATTTAGCGAGACTTTTTCACCGTGTACACAGTCCAACGAAGNTTATGCTGGCAATATTATTTACCAACCAACCAACTCTCTAAAGCTAAGTGTACACGGTAGAGAAAAAACGCGAGATTTAGATAAAAATCTCGCTAGAGACGTGTAAACAATCAATAGAGCTCTACGAGAGACTCATCTACAAAGTTTATGTGAGAGTTATTTAGCGAGACTTTTTCGCCGTGTACACAGTGCAACGAAGCTAGATCGAAAACTCTACGACAACTCTACGCTTTATTTAGCAAGCTAAATAGACTTTTTGCTCTACGGAGACGTATGGTCAAGTCTTGGCAATGAATTTCAATACAGATTGGTAAATTTTGAAATGGCTACGAAATTAAATCGTATATTCGATACAAGCACACGATTTTAAATGCAATTAGAACATAGCCAAATAATGTACCGGGAATCATCCTCTTATTTTTATCGGCATTTCAATGGCTTTTCCAATAGCCTCCGTCCTTTGCAAAGGGGCATANGCAATGAATTTCAATACAGATTGGTAAATTTTGAAATGGCTACGAAATTAAATCGTATATTCGATACAAGCACACGATTTTAAATGCAATTAGAACATAGCCAAATAATGTACCGGGAATCATCCTCTTATTTTCATCCGTATTTTAATGGCTTTTCCAATAGCCTCCGTCCTTTGCAAAGGATCATAATTATTGGTTAAAACATAAGGGGTATTCAGAAATTGTGCAGGTGGTCTGGCACTCTGGCAATAGTCGTTGCTTGAGTTATCTGCTGTTTTGTCAGAGTTCTAGGCCATTTGCTCAACTTGGTGAATACCTACATACATATATATAGTAGTTTGGCTGGAACTGCTCGGATAAACTCCTTTCAAGGGAATTTTAAATATTAAAGGTTGTTTGATGCGAGTCCAAAAGTACACATAAATAGTACCGAAGAGAGAGGTTGCCATGTTTAATTTTTAGGTACATTTGTCTACTTTTAGGTAATTTTTTTTTTTCGGCAAATAAGTACAATTTGAAAATTTAATTCTTGTTCATATTGCGAAAATGTATTTTATGACGTCAGAAGATAGGTGAATGCTGTCAAATCGACGAAGGGTTACAACAAATACAACACCAGAATTATGCGCTTGCGATTTGATTATATCTTTGATCTTATTGACCAGTCTCTTGCACTGCTTCAACTCATTCTTAAATGTAGCAGAACAGTTCGTATACTTACGCAAAATTTCTCGATCCCGCATGCTTGGATTTCGCAATATCGTTGCGACCTTTTGTCGTCCATTACATTTCTTAGCCTTCAATGTGTCTTGACAGCTCTCTTTGGTACTCAGCTCTTCAATTATGGTATCGTCTTCTGAAACAACTGGCCGACATTTCGAAAAGTGTATTGTGTCCGAAGCGATGGTAGTATCTAAAATGCAAAGTAGTTTAGAAAAGTGTTAACACTTAACCAAAGAATGTCGTACCATCTTGCGGATTAATCGAATCCCACTGTGATGAGTCCCATGGCTCCGAAAAAACAGTGCCATCATCCGACTGCGCTGAATCGATGCCGTTGAAAAATGACTGACAGAAGGAATAAGTGCCGCCGACATTGTCGTACGACGAGAGTCGAGAACCTGTCTGACTGTCGAAGGACTTCTGGCTGCCATGATGTTCGCTTAACAGCTTTTGACCGATTTGGCCGTTTTGATGCTGCTGTAGATATGTTTGCTGTGGTGGCGTGGAGCAACGCACCAGCTCTGGCAGATTTAAATCGGGAAAACGCTTTGCAATTATTTGATGCACCGTCAGCGGCTTCTGCTTATTCTCTTTGTTGGCCTCGCGACCCAATGAGTTTTCCTTTTCCTGTGCGCCCGCAGGATGTTGACGCCACTGTTCCGCCGTATCGTAATCGCCATAGTTATTGCTGGCAGCATGTTCATCTGCGTCGTCATCATAATCATCATCCTCATCTTGCTTGCCCATAAACTCCCAACTGCTGTCGAGCTGCCATTGCTCAAAGCGTGCACGTGCACGTTTTGTGGGCTGCTGTTGCTGTGGCTGTGTTGAGGCCTGTTGCTCTGCCGGTTGTTGCTGTTTTTTCTTCAGCTCATCTAGACTGCCAGCGATTTTTTCGAATTCTTTGGGTATAAGCAGCGGGCATATAGGGGTGCGCGCAAAACCGCTTTTTGGCGGCTCTGAATGTCGATGGTTTGCGGGCAAGAGTGGACCACGTTGCGAACGTCGTAGTATGCTAGCCGTGGTAAGACCTGCTTCGCGCAAAGCGTCGGCAGGTTCGGCATAGAAGGGGCTGCCTTGCTTGCTACGTGAGGCAGGCGTGTCTGCTGTGGGTGTGGTGTCACCCTCGTTTAGTTCGCAAATTTTGAATTGCTCCTCAGAAAGGGATTGGCTCATGAGGCCGGGCAAGAGTAGGCCAGCGCGCGAACGAGGCAGGGCATCAGCCGAGAATTGTATGAGCTGTTGGGTGTCGCAAGAGGGGGCATCGGCAGTGGGTGTGGGCGAGGGTTCGCAATTGTGTGGCGGGCTGACCGAAGCAACGGAAGAGTTGGCTGGTGAAAGCAAGTTGGCGCTGAGGGAAGTGATTGTGGCTGTAAGAAAAGATAAGAGGACATTAACTTTTATTTTTAACTGAACAATGTATGTTGGAGTTACGTGTTTCTGCCAGCAGGTCCGGACGCTTACCCTGCGCGCCTTCCGCAGGCTTGAAGCTACTAAGCAAGCCGGTGCGTTCATTCGACTCCTGGGTCCATAAATCCTCATAGTCGCTAATTTTATCACCCAAAGCGCTGCGGCAGTATATCTGTGGACTTTCCAGTATATCGGACTCCTGATAGTGTTTGGATTCCTTGCGCGCCTTAGCTCGGCGCGATTTACTGCTACTGCTGCCTAAAACACTTGTGGGTGTGCCAGCCGAGCATGGTGAGAGAATCTTCCTTTGGCTGTGATTCGAGTCTTTGCTGCTCTGTGATTGCCAGCGGCTGCCATTTGAAGAACCCTGTGACGAGAGCGTATCCTTGCACTCGCCCTCGGGAGATAAGCGCTTCGAGAAAGTTTGGAAAGTCGCATTCGAGTTAAGCGCGCTTGAGGCGATCATATTGGTAGCTGTGGCTGGTGTGGTAACCTCGACAAATTGTGGTGAGTTATTGTTCTCCATAGAGAAAGTGACCGTTGTAGTTACGGTAAAGTTATTTGCTGAGTTCAATGCATGATCCGATGGCAGTGGACTGCTGGGCGTGAGTGGTTTGAAACAGCGCAATGGGGGTGCGGGCGGTTTGCGCAAGTCTAAGTTTAGAGTGTTTGGCGGCTTAGGACGCTGTGGCCGTATGCCATTGTCTGAGGCCTTCATACCCTTTGTGGGCACCGGTACGAGATTATTTGACTTGAAAGTGCTGAGATTGCCGTTGGCAGACGTCGGCGTAGCATCGCACGCTAAACCTCCAATGCCATTGCGATGATTATTCATATCCACTGGTGACATGGTTAGCATCACCGAATCCACCGATTCGGGACTCATTAGCTGCAAGTTCGGAGCACCACTGGTGCTGAATGAACTCATGCTCGAGGTGGTGTCCGATGGTGTGCCCGCCTGGCTGAAAAGGCCACCCAGGTTATTTGTAGGGCTGAATACCTTTGCCGGTTGCGGTGCGCTCGAGTTGCTGCTGAAGACCGTTGTGCCCAGACCGCTGGTCTCAGTTAGAGAATTTGGTGATTTAGCATCGAGTAGCGTAGCCTCTGATTCATGTGGCTTGGGGCAAGACATCGGATACCGCCAAAACTCTTGACCCAGCAGCGCTAGCGAGGAGAGTTGTTGACGATTTTTGACTTCGCGCAAGGCGCGCGGCAGTATAAGTTGAACGGGCAGTTCGTCGCAGCACTGGGCATAGTGCGCAATGAGAGCGGGGATTGAATCGAATGTGAAACGTGAACTCTCGAGGCTCAAAATGCCATTGTTTGACTGGATTAAGTAGTGCTCAATGTAGGGGCCTGTGTCTGGGGGAAGACGCACCGAAACGGCCATAGTGTTGATTTGGCTGGAGCCGCGCACAATAAAATTCTGTAAAAGAAAGGGAACAGAGATGAGATTAGGTACGAGATTAGAGATGCGATTAGATTTTGATTAAAATGGAAATAACGAATTCTGTGAATAAACCTTAAAATGTAAACTGCTCAAGTCTTTCAGAGCTATAAGTCTATGAACAAAAGAGTTGCGGTTTGATTTGTGGACTGTGGTCTATTGAGGACAAAATGATCATATTCTAAAGAGCTTTTTTCAAAATCGTTAATATTCTTAAGTAAAAACAAGACTATTTAATTTTAAAATTTTAAAATTTTTTGTTTACTTCTTTTACAACTTTTTTAATTTTTGGTAAATTTTTATTCTTTGTAATATCCAATTTGTACTTATAGTTTTTCGAATGTTTCCATAAATGTGTTTTTCAGTTTTAATGAAACTGTTGATAAAAATGATTTTTTAAAAGCTAAAAAATTTGATTTAGTACATATCGAATTTAATAATAATTTTTTATTGGACATTTTTTCAAATATTTTTCTTAGTTATTTATCCTTAACTTTTTTATAGCTTTTGTTCAAAATATGTTCTACAAATTAATGGTAAAATTCAGTTCAGAATTAAACTGATTGGGAAAGTATAGAAAAACAAATTTTTATTTTTTATTCTAATGTACTTACAAGTCATGTCAAAAATATTAAAAATAATTTTTAGTTGTGATATGTTAAGATTTATTATAAGAAAACTAAGAACATATTTTAGTTTTTTTTTTAAATTTGGTTCAAACTTTATTCTGGAGTTAAAAAAAAAATATTTATTTACGTGATTATCAAAAGCAAAATAATCATATTTTTATTACAAATTTTTCAACTTGTTTTTTAAGTAATACTTTTTACATAATTGATTTTTCCAATTCTTTCCTTAATGGTTTTTAAACCGTTTCTAGTAAATCTTCGATTGATTAGAAATCAAAAAATCATAATAATAGATCACTTTCTAATATTTCTTTTTGTCTTTAAAATCATTTTGTATTTAAATTTTTTCTTCAATTATTTTTATATTTTTTGCAAATTTTTAGTAAAACGAATTGTACGTTTAATTTGTTGGGATTTATCAAAGGTAAACTAATTATATTTTTATAACAAAGATATTTTTAAATCGTCATTTTGGGTTTTTGAAATAAGCTTTAATTTTACGTTGTTTTCAAATTTTTAACCGACTTCAAAATAAGAGTAGTATTTCGTCGAAATATCTTTTTTTATGTACTATGCGGTAAACTTTGGAAGACTTGAACCGATTTCGATAACTATTTTAACGGTAATGTAATCCTGAATTGTTATATGAGAATTGAAGTCGGTTGTCTTTGTTGCTTAAAAATTACTTGTTTCCTTTAATAATATTTAACACTATTGGTCAAAAGATTTGTTTAATTAATATTTTTTAATATTTGTCTTTAGGATGATGGCTTTGGCGGCCTTTACTTGTTTTCAAAAGAAGCCAAATAATGTAATTTACAATAATATTTAAATTTTTTTTTTTACTTTTTTAAATAATCATTCTTTATATAATATTTTTCTAATCTTTTTTCCAAATGTTTTTTAAACCTTTTTGAAATTTGAATAAAAAATATTTTTATAAAATATAGAAAAACCAAGAGAAAAATTCAGGAAACTCTACACAACATCCTTCTTTCGTCTTTCGTTTGCTCTTAAAAGAGCTCAGAGTTTTTGGGAGAAGTATCTGTCAAAGTATTTGACCTGAGCTTAAATTATTTAAATGTAGTTATTAAACGCTTCACATTACACCATTTATGTATATTTCGTATGTCCCTTTCCAGCTGTCACATATACAAACGCAACGCCCAGCACACAAATCACATCCGCCTAAAGCAGCATAGGTTTAATGTTGCGTTAAAAATCTGCACATAAATTTCATATCATAATAGCAATGATAAATTGTCATCACTCAGTCGCGCGCATCCTTTGTACGCAGGCATTTACATTAGACATTCACTCACTCTATGTATCTAGAAAAATAATTCCGACACTAACAACACTATGATTTAGCAACACCAGCTTGTCGCTTTTCTCGGCAAAACTTTTTTTTTGTCTTCCGGTCGAGACTTGTGCAAGAGCGCGCGCATTGTTCGTTCGTCTTATTGGGGGATACATGGCGTATGAGCAACGTTAAACTCAAGTGCTGCATAATGATGAAGGTTGAGTGTGAATAAAGTATGTAGTTTGCTGGTATGAGTGAGTAAGTAAGGGCAAATCGAGTAGTAGTGTGAATGTGAAATGTGAAAATAGCATTGACGACGACAAAATTAACGCTTAAGTGCGTTTGTTACACTAAAGTGAGCATAATAAGCAGCAGCAGCAGCAGGAACTGTTGTTCTTCTCGCTGCCACCACCTGTTTATGAATTTCGCTGCATAAGTATTCAAATAGAAATTCATGCAACTCATTTGTTGTTGCGAAACTTTGCAGACATTTCAAACGCATCAAAGGCACTCGACTAAGTAAGTGTGTTCTTGTCATATTTTTAATAGCCAGCATTTGTTTTAGTGTGCCTTGCATTCGAATTTGATTTTGTTTATTTTGAACGGGGCGTTAATCGTTTTCGCATTAACTACATAAAACAAATGGTCAGACATTACACGGGGACAGGTTTTGCAATGTTGGATGGTAGGGTAGGGTAAAGAGTTACAAAGCACAAGATTGTTAGGGGTGAAGTAAGAGAGAGAGAGAGAGATAATAAATAGTGTGTAAGTAAGTATTAGGTAGCAATAGATGTTGAAAAGTAAAGCTAAGGAGAAAGGAATGACAATTTGCGGTAGGGGAAAATTTCTATTTAAGCATAGGTAAGAAGGTTAAAGTCCTTTTCTTTTAATTTTGATTTGGTAAATAAAAATGGATGTCGGCGCAAAATTATAGGCAGGCCACATAACAATGGCGGCGGAGAAAACGATTGATAGCCACAGAAATGTAGCTAATAATTAATATCGTTAACTATTCTAACGAAACAATTTTAAATACAATTACGTGTACGATACCAATAACAATATCGATAAATATGTCTGAAATGATAATGCTGATGATTTAAGCATTCATAGAAAAAAGAAAAACTAAATGCCTTATATGATATCGATAAGGATACAAATATTGCATAAAAACAGCACAAACACCGTTTTAAAGGTTCGAATATCGAAAATATCGAAAAAAAACTATCGATACGTACATTTGGTTAACTCTGATGATATCGATGGCGGCGGTGATGAGAGAACTCTTTCTTAACAATATTAAAAAAGACGATAACGATAAAAACCGATCAAAATATCGATAAAACAATATCGATGATTACATATGGTTAATGCTGATGATATCGATGACTGCGGTGATGAAAGGAAAATATTAACAATATTGATAACGAGCACAATTCCGAAGACAATGTCGATAACGATATTTCTACATATATGAGAAAAGGACACTAATATTGGTAAAAGCATCAATATGAAATTTTCATGGTTTCTTTAAGGAAAACCTAGACGGTCAATAATTTTGATCAAAAGCTGGAGTAACTCGGTTGAATCAAACGTGATTGATCGTCTTACATCCAAATTCATGCTTCAGCCAACCGTTTACGGTGTTTGATGGAAATTGTGACTAGAGTGCCAGGCAGTCAAAGACAATTTTGATGAAACTTTGCGTATGTGCTCAACCTTCTTCTCACAATTTTTAGCCGTACTAGCTCTAGCAAAAAAATAAAGCTCTCCTGGCCCTGTAGTCTTCTGGTTTCGTTCAGCGATGAACGTTGAGTATATGGACACTTTAAAAATTAATTCCTGTTTACATTTTGACAAAGCAGGAAAATCCGTGACAAAGCTATAATTGTGGTCCGACTTTTTTAGATTAAATTTTCAATAAGTATTCTTCCGACTAAATGCCTACAGATACTCACATTTTTCTTTAGAATAGCTCTATATATCGAGGGCTTATATTCAAGACCCTCTCTATCTACACTTTTAATAAAAATGAGATTCTGATATAAAGCTCCACCTAAGACTTAACTGTCATCGGTGATATTAATGCTGAATTTGCATAACGCTTGACAGAAGAATTTACTACTAAATTGCAAAGTTAGAACTAACATCAGTGATTACAGGTAAGTCTCATATGGGTTCTTATATCACAAAGTAGTTTTTGTGAAAATTGCAGATAGAGGGTATTGAATATAAGCCCTCGATATGTATATATAAATAACTACGTATATGTACATTTGTAAACAATTACAGCACAGCCATATTGAAATCTCAAAGTAAAGTAAGCTTCAATAAATAAAACCAGCAAACGGACTATCGCGCTTCATTGCCGCAAAACGAGCTATTTAATAGACTGCCACACAACACATCCAGCAGTGGGAACTTTCAGCATGCAGTTCATAAATAGCATGAAAATATTGCTGTGACTAGTAACGAAGCTGCTACATTGGTGACACCCACCAAAAATACGGACACAAACTAAAATGTATATTATCATAACACAGACAGCGCCAGAAGAGATAGTAGTTTGAAACGCTCGGCCACATTGCTGAAGCTCCAGCTCCAGCTTCACAAACGCAATTGCATATTATATTAAGTGTATGCT